GGGGGGCGGGCCCGCGGCTGCCCCGCCCCGAGGCTGAGCCCCGCTGCTGCTGATCCTGGGGTTAGTTGCACAGCTCTGCAGGCCGCACACCCACTCTCCTGGATAAGTGACCCCCCAAATCTTTATTCCCAGCCCAGCCATCTCCCTCCTGAGCTATCCACTCGCTATCCAACCACCTCTTTCGTTGTCCAGTTGGGTTTAACTCGTTTTTTTTTCTTTTAATCCCCACCTGCAGGTATTTTTTTCATTGCTTTTTTAGAGACAGTGGGAGGGAGAGGGGAAGAGAGAGACACACATTGACTGGATGCCTCCCGCACACCCCCCGACCGGGGCAGGGAGCGAACCTGCAACCCAGGTACAGGCCCTTGACCGGGAATCGAACCCAGGACCCTCCCGTGTGCGGGCCCACAATGCCCAAGCACTGAGCCACGCCAGGATCTGACTCATCTTGCAGATATTTCTTGCACGCCCTCTGTGGACCAGGCATCTTGGTGGGTGCCGCGGTGAGCGGGATGGACAGGTTTCCTGCCTTAGGGCGCTCACAGTCTCTTGACTCTGATCCAGCAAACATTCCAGCCTCACTAATAAATGTAAAAATCTCAAACGGGAAGAAGTGACCCAAAGTTATCAGAACTTGAAACGAAAACAGACTGGACCGGAGTAGAGTTAACTAGGTCGATGTCCGGGGATAGGAACCTCTGGGAGCATCTCTCCTCTGTGGAGGAGAGAAAGGGCAAAGGCCGTGGGCGGGACAACATGCTGGGTCACCAAGACAGCAAGGTGCGAGTTGGAGAACAGAGGACCTGGCAAGAGATGAGGCTAGAAGGGTGGGCCAGGTAGGCATTTCAGTTTCTATTCTAAGAGCAATGGGGGAGGCCTTTGAAGGGTTTTAAGAGGGGGTGACATTANAGGGACCAAATCATGCCTTGTGGGCCAGGTAGGCATTTCAGTTTCTATTCTAAGAGCAATGGGGGAGGCCTTTGAAGGGTTTTAAGAGGGGGTGACATTATTAGAACTATGTTTTAAAATATCCTTTCTGGGCCCAGCTGGCGTGGCTCAGTGGTTGAGCATCCACCCATGAACCAGGAGGTCACGGTTCAATTCCGGGTCAGGGCACATACCCGGGTTGTGGGCTCAATCCCCGGTGGGGGTGAGGGGTGCAGGCAGCAGCCAATTGATGTTCCACTTTCACACATCGATGTTTCTCTCTCTCCCACTCTCTCTGAAAAAGCAATGGAAAAAATACCCTCTAGTGAGGATTAAAAAAAAAAAAATCAATGAACTATTTTAAAAAATATGTATATATGTGTGTACATATATATGTGTGTACACACACCCATATATAGCTCCCCCAGGGAGCTGCCTGGTTCATCTTTGACCCCTAGCTCATGGTATTTGTACTGTACATTGCAGGGGTTTGGTAACTGCTCAGTGAATGAATGAATAAATGAATGAACACTCGTCATTCCCCTGCTCAAAGTCATTTAATGTCTTTTCTTTGCCAGTGAGACAAGGGTCTTCCTAGAAGGCATTCAGAGCCTTTAGACTGAGCCTCTGATCCCAGCCTACCTGAGTTGAATATCCTCTGACCCTGGGAACACCCCCCTCCAGCACCTGAGAGCTAGGCAGCATTTAAAGAGCTTCATCCATTTCGTAAACATTCACTGAGCACCTGCTAAGTGCCAGGCCCAGGCGTTGGTGCTGGGAATGCAATGGTGACGGAAACCAATGGTGGTCCCTGCCCTCCAGGGGTTGATGTTCTAGGAAACACTGATGACGTGGAAAAATGTAAAAAACGGACCACACAGTGCAATCAGTGTAATGAAGGGGGAACACAGGGTTGGGGGGACCCCCTGTGGGAGCAGGAGGAGGCCCTGGAAGTCACCTCTAAGCCCAAATCCAAAGGAATTGTGGAAGGTAGAGGTGGGGAGGGAGAAGGCACATGGGAAGGCCAGAGGCATTGCCTCCCTCCCAGAGGAGTGGGAACCCTTACCGCATCTCAACAGGCAGGGAGGCCTCCAGGTTCTCCTTGCATAGCCCCAGAGACTGGGGGCTAACTTCTGGGTGAATATGCCTGGGTCTTACTCTGCTCCTGAGCCTACCCCACTCCCCCTATTCATTTGTAACAATAAGAGTTTATCATATTATATTCATTCAAGGAGTATTTATTGAATGACCACTTTGCACCTGCCAGGTACCTGGTTGATTCCTCACAGGGACTATTACTATCCTAATTTTCCAAACAAAACAAAAAAAATATATTTTTTTATTGATTTGAGAGAGAGAGAGAGGGGAAGGGAGAGAGAGATCTGTTGTTCCACTTATTTAGGAATTCACTGGTTGATGCTTGTATGTGCCCTGATTGGGGACTGAACCCGAAACCTTGGTGTATCCGGACGATGCTCTAAGGAGCTGAGCTATGGGGTCAGGGCAATCCCCATTTTTCAAATGAGAAAACTGAGGCTCAGAATCAGTGGCTTGCCCATGGGACCCCTAAATGTCAGGCCTCATTCCAGGCTGCTGTGCCTTCAGGATTCCTGCCCCTACTCACTCACCCTGTCTCCGGTGGGGCCCAGCTCACCCAAGGGCCTTTCCTGGGATCCACGCAGAAGAGGGGCTTGGGCCCCATCCCCGGTCCCCTCCAGCAGGCCGGCCCGCCCGGGCGTCGGCCTCCAGCCCCTCAGGAGCTGCTAGGGAGACAATGTCGGGGTGGGCGGGGGAGGCGAGGGCGCGGGTGCCCCCCTGCCCGCTGCCCTTTGTCTCCCGCCTGCTCCCCTCGTGCGCCCCGGGAGGCTGGGAGGCGCCTCTCGCAGGCTTCCTCCTCCCATTCTTGTGCTAATTGTGTGTCAAGCTGAGATCAGTGGGAAAGAAATCCTCCCCGGCTCGGGTTAAACTGCCGCCAAAGACTAGGGCTGAGCCCAGAATATCATTAGGCCGGGAGGAAGAGGGGGGCCCCCTCCTCGCGGGGAGGGGCCGGCCGCTCATTCAGGCCGCTTTGAAAGTCACTCGGTCTCCCCCTCCTTGGCCTCTGCCTGAATGGGCCCCTCGGAGGTATTTAACCTCCTTCCCAGGAATTGAAAGTGATAGGCCAAGCACTGGCCTGGGCGGCCACTTGCCTGTCCCGAGGGCGGCAGGACCTCCGGGGACGCTGGACGCAGGCCCCTTCCAGCCTCTGCGGTGCAGGCAGCGGATGGGAACCCCGAGGCTCCCCGACGAGGGCCGCACCCCAGCGCCACCCTTCACGGCCCTGTAGCCTGTGCAGACACTTTGCCGCTCTGAGCATCAAAACAGCAGCTGCTTCGTGTTACGGATTTAATGAAATGAGGCACCTGAGGCGCTCTGCACGGCGCCGGGCCCCTAGGAAGTGCCCCCCACGCGGTGGCTCTGAGCAAGTCTCAGAAAGCGGTTTGACTCCACGCTAGGGTCTCCTGGGGGGCTCCCCATGCCAGGGGGTGTGCGATTACCAGTGCCCACGAGGCACTCATTTTCAGATCTTGCCTCAACTCTGCCCCCGCCCTCCCCCAGTCCCCCCGCAGTCTCACTACTCTCCTTTTATCCTGGGGCTTGCTGGCCACCTCCAGGCCTTTGCACGGTGCCGCTCCTTCTGTCCGGAACACGCTTCCCCTCTGAGTC